CTCTCCCTATGCTTCTATATGCCACCATTACACATTACTAACTTTGTGTCTCCTCTCTCCCGTAGTGTGTCCTCTCTCTCTCCCTGTACCTTTCTGCAGGTTGCCCTGGCCCGGGAGCTCTATGTCTCTGACGAGCAGTCACCAGCCACATCGACCTGATCAGTGTTTGATTGTTGTGTCTTGTTGCTTTTCTTCTTTTGTCTCTCCTCTATCCATTCACCCCAACCGGTCGAGGCAGTTACATAAACAGATAAATATAGTAGCTAACACATTTCCATGATGGCAAGAAAGAATTCCTGCATGCTTTGCGATTGTAACTTTCAACATTATTTGAAAATTTCTTTCAAAATACAGTGATCTAGCTACACAACAGCATCTTAAGAAAAACAATTAACTCAGCAGGGGCCCGTTTCAAGAAGGCAGTTTAACAAACTCAGAGTTCAAACCTGAACTCTGAGTTGACTTACACAGAGTTGGAAAACTTGGAGTTTTCGGTTTCAGAACAGCTGAAAAGAGTTGGTTTAATCAACTCTGAGTAGGTTGACTCAGAGTTAGGCGCGTGCCACGCGACTATAAAAAGCCCTGAACAATGGAGTGAAGACATTACGAGTCACCATGGCAACAGGACCTAGCAAAAATAGGTCTGCGTTTTCCCCAACAGAAATGGATGTGCTACTACAAGCATATAGTGACTACGAGCCCATATTTCGTAAAAAAAAGCAACACGGCTGCAGCGGCGAAAGAGACAGAGTTAGCTTGGGGGAAAATAGCTGCCCGAGTCAATGCGTACGTTTACATTTTAATCATACAGTGTTCGGTGTAAGTAATTACTAAATAATGTTAGTAATGTTATTATTTGTCACTTGTAAAGTAAGGAATGGTTCTTAATTCTTCAATAATTGAATGAGTAACTTCAGTAATTGCATAAAATACCGAGTTTTGTACGAATTAAAAGTGCAGTTTTATGTCTACCCTTTCTTAAAATTCCTATTGTGGTTGATATGGGATTTGTAAAGTAATGATTAATAAATAATCCAATACGTTTTATGGAGAGTAATTATTACATTAATCAAAACACTTTTTTAAAATTGACCCAACACTGATGTAATAATATAAGAATTGAATTTTAATTTTCATAGAGGTGCATGGATGGGAATATGTGTCCCATCAATGCATCCAACCACAAATTATTAGTTTATTTCCAGAGGTCACAGCAAGATGTTATTAACTGATCATCATTT